TATATGTCCACTATCCAGCAAGGCCACTCAGCTATACAGGTAATGCGTGGTGAAAACTAACCGAATATAATTATTATGATTAGGGTTTGAATCTTGAATTTAAAAAATATTTTTTAACATGTATCTAAGCATGTGTTTAACGATCACTTTTCAGAAAAAAAAAACATTTAAACACTAAAAAAATCAATTAAAATTTATTCAAACTCAAATTTATAAATGTTTATCTAAACACATAATTTTAGACGATATCTCCAAATCATTGAACTCAAATGAATGGAAGTACTGCTGCATAACATTCTTCTTACTGTACATGATAACAGCAACATTATCCGTTTAAAAGAAACAAAAATAACCTGGCCCTTCATAAATGGCAATATAAGAGTAATCTATAGATGACTGGAAACCACAACAGACTGTTGGATAAGAGAAAGGAAGATACCAACAATGCAAAGTAATTAATTGGTATACAAACGCTAATTGAGAGAGATGGTTCAATCCTGTGATGGATGCTCGATCTATATCTACTAATTCTAATTGTTTGTCCTGAACTCGTATAATGTATAAAACATAACTTACGGCAACAAATTTAACACAACTAATAAAGCAAGTTAATTTACACACAAGGATGAATGACGTTAACCAGACCTCGAACACGTTGGGATAACATAGCTTGAAGATTGTCCCAACATTGTTGGAATACAACACTTCGAAATATATATCACCCAAAAAAAGTGCGCGTTATAGGAGACGTATATATAGAAAAATATTCAGAAAAAAAAATTTAATTATTACGAGAATAATGAATATACTTATATATTATTTAAAATATATACAAATAATAATTATTAAATTATATATCTACAAATATTAAAACTATATAAATTTTAATAAATTTATTCAAAATGTTATTTTATTAAATTTGATATTTAATATGATTTAATTTTATCATAATTTTCAATTATGATTTTTGCTATGCATCAAATTTTACGTTCATTTTATATTATTTGTTTTTATATATTTATCTTTTCTCATCATGGTTTATTAACTTTTTCTGTTTCCTTCTCACATGTTCTTCGTCCGAAGATATATTTAATTTGGATGTTAAGAAAATATTTTTTTAAAGGATTTAGTTGACATTATTCTTAGAATATGCATGTATTCAGGTTTATATATAGTTTAATTAAATGCTTATTTTATAAAATTTGACTATGTGGTAATTTGTACAATAAATTTTATTATAAATTTTACTAAAATAAATTTAATTAACAAGTTATAACTTATTTTCATAAACTCCTTAAAAACACATAATTAATTATTTATAAATACATCAGCGTATAACATATTCATTTCAGGGGATCAATTATATATATATATATATATATATATATATATATATATATATATAGAGAGAGAGAGAGAGAGAGAGAGAGAGGGAGGGAGAGAGGGAGAGAGAGAGATAGATAAAATTATAACGAAATTGACTGATAATGTCGCTTTTTTCCTATTCCCCTTTAAGAACTAATCAATTACTATTCCCTTTTCCTGTTTATACAAGATAGCTCAAAGTAAAATACTTTTAAGAATGCTAACAACTACTGTCAAATATTGATTAAAGTAATAAATAATAAAAGGTATTTATTATATTAAAATCTTAACATTAAACTAATTAAAAATATTTATTATTAGAGTAAATTAATTATTATTTCTTGATTAACGACTTTAGGATGTTAATTAACACAAAATGCGTTCTTATATATATATATATATATAATATTATAACGTTTAAATATTATGTTTTATCTTTCTTGATAAACAATAAATAAACGGGCATAAATATAAGATTTAAACATGATCTAATAAATGATAAAACTAATTCAATCTGTCAAAGTTAGCCTTCATTTGTGCATTGCAATATATGGATTTGGTAAATTATATTTTTCATGTATATACATTATTTTATGTGAAAATATAATTTTACCAGTTCTAATTATTTTTATTTCTTATTAGTGTAAGGAAATTTAATTTAATTTTCTCATGCTAAATTTTATCTAATGATTAATATGAATGAAAGAAACATGTAACATAACATTAGCGTATATTACTTGATAAAAAAAAATAATAGGCAAAATATTTAAAATGAGAAGAAAGATAAATAATTAATAATAATACCCAAAATTAGCTCAGTAAAACTAATTTTTTTAATATTCATTTAAATGTTTATATTCTTTCATTAATTTTTATTAATCAATGTTACTTCATATTTTCATTAATTTTTTGATAAATGTGATATAAGAGACTCAATTTAAAAAAATTATAAATTATAAAACTTATACAATAAAAAATAAAAATATTAAAATCTAATATATATCAAGATGATTATATATTTAACACACTTACTCTCCAATCATCAATCGGGAGTTTATTATGCATACTTTATACTTTATGTGTTTTTTACTAAAATGTTGGATTTATGTTTTGTATATAAAAAAAAGTGTATGCTAGTCGACCATTGTCTCATTTAAAAAATGTCATAGTCTAAAATAACAATGATTGATGGTTAAAAAATAAAAATCAATGGTTCCTATCCAGAGAAGATTATACCATCGGCGGTAGCTAGCAGCCAAAACTTTTGCTTGAAGTGATTAGCTAATAATTCTTTATCTCGCAGTTTCAAACAAAACAATACGAGCTACCTTAATAATTGAAAATATGTTCCCACCAAAAAAAGTGGAAAACTACGTGAGCAATATGATTGAATGCGATATATCAATCGTTTTTTCAGAAAATAAAAATGACAAAAGAATATATATTAAGAATATTACTCATAAAAATATATGAATTCTAAAGCTTCCATATTTTGACTTATATGATCACTAGGTTTACCTCAATACTTTTCTGCATAGAATCCATTAAAAAACATCTACATTTTGCATGAAATGATAGATAATGAATTGTAGCAACTAATCAGGTCGGAGTATTTGAATATTCGTACTTTAAAGCACTTTCCTAATGTTTTACAACCTTTTACTGATTAATCGTGTTAAAGCCCATCCAATGTTGATATTATTCTGAACTATATTTGCTGTGCACGCCAATTATAAATATGACTTGGTTAGCAGGATCATGACACTTGCAACTTCTTATCTTGTGAAAAAATGTATAAACTGTAACATAACAAATAATCAAGAGTAAAATTCATCGTTATTAATTTTAAAAACTAACAGCAATTTTAAATCAACAGATAACTAGCAGTTCTTCTCTTCCTTCGTTGAATTTCACATTGTAGCGTCTTCGTTCTGTGCACATAGGATCATGTTATTCTTGCTTATAATAATGATTGGATGATCATATAATTGTTTTATATTTTTTATGTACTTCAATTGAATTTTAATTATTCTAGTATATAATATAATAATAATAATAATAATAAATACATATTTGTTATTAATTTCAAATAAATTAAATTTATAAAATATTTTATTTTTGATTAACTAACAATTAATATGTTACTATTTTCACACTTAATCTATACATTTATTTGTTTTATTTTTAATGTGAATCTCATCTAAAAAAAATACCGCAACTCTTAAGACTTAATTTAAACACTTGATAATAGTAATATTATATTAAAAAATTATTATACTTTTATAACATTAATACAACGATTTTATTTTTTTCATAAAAATATATCATTTTTATATATAGAATCAATAAAGTTTATTTTTTTCAATCAGGTGAGTTTTGAACTCATCCGATAAAATGTAGAATTTAAATTTTAAATTTTAAGCTCACATTAAATTTGAATATTTAGCCTAATCCAATTAGGCTTATTGCAGGTTAACCTTGCAAAAATTCACAAGGTCTAATAAGCCAAAGTCCACCACTTACAACTGGTTAGGCAGAATAGTCCTATTTTACCAGTTTTATTAATATGACATTCTATGATTGATAATAATATTAAAAAAAAATTACATTGTGAATACATTCTAAAGATATAAAATAATATTTTTTTTATAATTTTATTTTAATTATGTAGACAAAATTATAGTTTTAGAAATTTTAATTAATTTATCTCTTATTATTTTTCTTTAAAACTGAAATTATTTATAAAAAATAAGTAATGTAATAATTAAATATTAAACCCGATAAATTGAAGAAAAAAGATATTTAAATATTAAGTATAAAATAAAATATAATAATAAACTATAAGCCAAAATGTTACTTTAAATAACATATAAAAAGTATTATAATTAAGTTAGTGCAATAATTTTTCATTAAATATTTTTATTTTGGTCAAATAAACTAATAAATAAAAAAATGAATTATAAGTTGGTTAAAATATCAGTCAAAAGCAAAATTTTTAGGACTTGCTTGAGATGACAATAAGCTTTTTATTTTAAAGTAAAATATATTTAACTAAAATGAAAGAATTAGTTTTAAATACCATTTTGAAATATTATAGATCTATTTTTAAATAAAAAATATTTTAATTTTAGTTGTAAAAATTATAAATATTTTTTCAAAAACTCGGGTAAAATTACATAATTATTTATCATAACTTTAAAAGTTTTGTATTTCAATAAATTTTAATACAATTCATTTTTTAAAAACTAAAACAAACTTTATATTAAAAAATTATAATTAATTAATTATTTATTCAAGGAGACCTCGTATTTGTAAAGTTGAAACTTAAAAGCTTATTTAAAAGAAATGAAACTGTTGGGACAACGGACCCAGACATTTGTTGTGGTACTTTAACAAGGCGAAGCCATTCTCAGACTTTGTGGCATTGTCAGGGCTTCACTGAGAGATGAGATAATCCCCAATTGTCCATATAACAGACCCCACTCTCTCTTAAGCACACATCTTCCACTGTCACATTAACAGTTCAAACTTCCAATATTTCTCACTCCCCCAAACTTCAATCTTCTCCCTCTCCAACACCAACAGTATCTCTTTCTATATATCTATCTATTTATCTAAATACAATACACACCCTCATGGACAAGATCACTGAGAGAGAAACCCGTGACTTCATGAACGTTGATTCTTTCTCTCAGCTTCCCTTTATTCGCCCCGCGCCACCTTCTAAAGAAAAACCCATTCGACTCTTTGGAAAAGAGTTCACCGACGCGCCTGAGTCTCACTCTACCCAAACAACAACCCTCAACAACAACAACAGTTCCGAGAACGATACCAACAACAACAACAACGCGGAGAACAGTGAGAGTGGCCGTAGATTCGAATGCCATTACTGTTGTAGAAACTTCCCAACTTCTCAAGCCTTAGGTGGCCACCAGAACGCACACAAACGAGAGCGACAACACGCGAAACGACACCTCCAGGTTCAAAGCACCCTCTCAGATGCCAACATATACGGCTTCATGAACTACAGGTTCGCTGCTGCTCCTTCAACGGCAATGCCTTATCCAACGTGGAACACCAACACTGGAAGGTTCTATGGAAGCTCTTATGATTCCCATCAACTACAAACCATTAACGGAAGCCCCTTGGCCTTGTTGCGACTCCCCAATGCCACTACAACTCCCATATTCAACGGTGAACGCTCCTTGTATCCGTTGCCTTTGTTTGCTGGCGAGCAAATGAAGAACGCGAGGGTTGTGGGGTCGTCGAGGGTGGGTGCTTCTGGTTCTCAAAACCGGTATGTTTATGACTCCAAACCCAGCGTGAAGGACCATGTCAGTTTGGATCTTCATTTGTGACATCAAATTTACACACACACACACACATATTTCGATAACATATTATCCGCTTATATAGAGTAATTTGGAGGTGGGAGCGGCCGGGAATAATATATATATTCAAGTTCAGAATTTTCTTCCTGTTATTGTTCAAACTTTATAATCACCAGATTAATTGTACGATATTTATATAATGATTCCCATACCATGTCTCCAAGCAATGATTTGTTCACCAAAATTTTTCATACAATTCTACAGTAATTTTAACTCTCTTTTTCCTTAGTCTTGCCTCTCTTTTTAAATTTTAAACAAAAATATTTTTAAAATCATCTTAAATAACTCATTCTTCTTTGTTATGGTATATGATTATTTTATATTGAATATTTAATTTTTAAAATTTAATTTAAATTTAATTTTTGAAATTTAGTTTTTTTTATAATTTATTTCACGATTTTAAAAAAATTATCTTTGTACCAATCATTTTTCTTTTTTCATACCTCAAATTTTACACGATGCCCACACCCACCTTTTGTGGTTAAAAAGAGGCTGCCCTACCTTTCCTTTTACCGTACGAGAGAAGGTAAACCTGGAGATAGTAAAAACTGGAGAAAAGAGAACTATTTTTATTTTTCTCTACAATATTAGTAGATATTTTAAAATATGATATATATTATTATTTATTATTTAGATACAATTAGTTGAAGTTTAAAAAAAAACTTTCATACTGGTTTCTATATGTGAAATTATTCTTAATTTCTATCATTAAGTTTAAGGACTAAAATTTAGAACAAACGGACGGCAATTTAGTCCTTGTAAGCGACAACATAGAATGGATTGACAATGATTATATGCATACAGGGACTGGTTTTATCTTTTTTTTCGTGTAATAATTCAGACTAAAAATAAACGTGGCAACTAAATTTTAATTAAATCTACACATTGTTTAGGTTTAAATAGTTTAATCTTTAAAATTAACTTTTAATTTAAATTTATTCTTTCTACTTTTTAAAATTATACGTTTTAGACACTAATAAAGAACTTAAATATATCATTTTTAAGGTGAAAGCTCAAAATAAATAAAATTAAATAATGACCAAAACTAAAAAAATCATATTTTAAAAAACTTAAAACATACACGAACTTATTACAACATAAGATGTATTTTTATGATTAGTTGCCCTTCAACTCGTTTTCCTACCTTTAAGAGAAGCCTTATTATTACTGATATGCCTTTGTTGATTTTGAAAACTGGAGTGAAGATAGTAAATCAAATGTACATGGAGCTCTAGCCAGCTAGTAGCTACTAATGCTTTCGTTTGGTCGAACACTATAAAGTTAAGGTCCATATATTGCATAGTCACCACACGTCATTCTCGACCTGCATTGAGAAAATTGTCCACTCGTGTGGAGATCATGTAAAGCGTACAAGACAGTTTGAGTGCGCATGAACATTTTGTCAGAACACACGTGTGCGTAATTCGATTATATTGTCCAGACAGGTATAGTGACGAGAGAGGTGGGTTCTGATTCAATGCAGTGTAACTGAGAAAGGTCATGACAACGTTCGAAAATCTGCTCAAATTTTCCAGTTAAGAAAGTGATAATTCAATGCCATTTGCTGGACCGAAGTAAGACCAGCATATTCATATGCTTCTTTTGTTATAAGTTACTGCTTAATTTCCAGCGTTATATATATATATATATATATATATATATATATATATATATATAGAGAGAGAGAGAGAGAGAGAGAGAGAGAGAGAGAGAGAAGACAGGTTTGTCTATGAGGACGTGTGCCTATCAGCTGTAATATTATGTCTTTTACTCCTTTATGCCTAATTAATAATAAGGTGTATGAAATGGAACCTCATTATGAGACTTAGGGCTTAGGAGACAAAGTCGGTGATATAAACACACACAGTGTCCATAAGTTCTCTCATTTCCCCTTACTCTCTATTGCTGTGGCAAGAGTGAATAAAAAAGTTTTACCTTATATAAATATAAATATGAATATGTTAATCAATATATATATATATACACTAAAAATTCTTATATCTAATTTTTATATGATTTTAAATTGCATATTTTGTCAAGATTATTTATGCAATTTGCTTGTGATTCATTAATAGGGATTTGTCACATTTGCTAACACTATAAATGAATAAATGGGAGAAGGAACATATTTGGCGAGAAAATGTCAATGCTTCTTTGGTGTTCATTGCAGTTAGTTAAGGTTGACCGGAATATATAGACTCAGGCTGCAGTTTGACTAAATGTTACTGTTAGAAAATTGGCAAGTCCATGTGTTGTGGACGATCCGGAGGTGGAATCAGAATTGATGTAATGGGTATTAGGTGATCATTCAAAATCGAAGTGACGAGTTAATTACTAAGTTGACGAGTAATGTCCCATAACTAGGGATCCCGTACATGAGTCACTTATTAATGCCTTGTATACAGATGCAAATCTCATCATTCAGTGGAGGTGGTACACAAAGGGCTTTTGACTTTATAATGGCAAAACCATCCCCTCCAGAAAAGGATGTATCTTTCTTTTCCCTAGAGACTTTAAGGAACAACTGAACATGGTAGTTAGTTAGACAGCCATCTTTATTTTCTCTATCTTCTGTACGTTTTGCTTTTATGTCTGATATACACATTGAAGGACACAGATAAATGTTATATGGCTTAGATTTTCGTTGTGAGTGGAAATGTGAGACTTGGAGATTCCTTCTACATGCAGGGAGAAATCGGAACATGTAATTAACAATATAATAGTATAATAGTATAATACACACGCATAATATATATATAATGGTTAGTACCGTGGGATCTGTTATTTTAATCATTTATTACTTGGCAGCACAAAGGATAAGGGATTTAACTTACCTACAAATTCATAGGAAAAGGATGATAAACCTCACACGCTCATGAACACGGGTCGACCTAGATCTTCTTCAGCCAATTAAACCGTATACTATGAGGGAAAAAGAGATATATAGAGGATAAGTTAGGCCTACTTGATAAGTGAGTTTTGTTTATCACGTGTTTGTTTTTCTTTCTAAATGGGAAGTAGGGTCAACCACACACGTTGAAGTTCAATTTTTTTTCCTCAAATTTGTGTCAGAAAGAAATTTTTCACGGACCTTTTAGATGCTATAATTCCTCGTCATTTTACCTGTATCGTTTTTAAAAATGGCGATTTTGAACTTCTACTGAATATATTGACTGTGAAAGGAATTCCGCGCGTTTCATTACCCACTTTAAAGTCAATGACTCGCTTCTACAATTTTCCAAATTAACGTGAGGATAACTATACTATATCGATGATTCACCTCCAAGCATTTAGCTTCCTATTCGTGGGGATGTACTCTCTTCTCAATTGACTTAATTACATGTGCTCTCTCTCTCTATATATATATATAGCCATGTTGTGATGAGAAACCTTTAGCGAAGCTCTCCCACCAAAAAAATATACATACAAATTGTTATATTTACTTTGATGTGTTATGATATATAAATTTCTATAATTATTATTTAATTTAAAATAACGTTCAAACTAAAATTTGATAATTTTTATGTTAAAGTTTTAAATAAAGTTATTCACATGGAGTCAAGGAAATTAATCTTTATTTTTTCATTATTTTTTTATGAACTTTGTTTATTTTCAATTATTAAACTTATTGTATTTAAGCATGATTTCGATTTCAAATTTATAAAACTTGAATTACGTTGATTTTTTTTTTCTAGAATTAATCTAAAACGAATTGTATAACTTTAAATACTAACTCGAATACATTAATACAATTAATAATCAAATTAATACTTTATTAGTAAAAAAAATTCAAAAATGAAATTGCTCATTGATTTATTATTTTAAGTGCCTACTATCTAATTGGTAAATTTATTAACACAATTTCACACCATTTATTTATTGTTTTAAGTGTCTATTATCTAGTTGGTAGATTTATTAATACAATTTCATGTTACTCATTTATAGTGACGAAAATTATGCATGATAATTTTTTTAATACATGATGTAATTACATAATATGTGTATATAAATAAGATCAACTAATATTAGGTGTGAAGTTTATTAAACATGTAAATTAAAATTCTTGAAATTTGGATTATATACAATGTATCTCTGATCTTTAACAAAATACATTTATTTTTAAGCAATTTTAAAGAGTATAAAATAACTACTTTTTTAATTAAAATAAAATGAGTGATGTTAAATTTATCAACTTCTAATGACAAAAATATCAAATAAATTATATTGCATACTTTGAAAATGTAAAAGACTGAAATATAGTTTTGTAAATGTTAAAGATGAAACTGTACAATTTTCAAACTTTAGTCATCTGTAGAGCCCATTTATGAGAGTGATCTACGCCAAGATGGAATTAAGTATCTCATCGAAAGCAAATGATAAAAGTAAACAATTTAAGAATTGTTTTTTGGAGTAGAGTATAAGCATATAAAAAAATATTTATCATATTAAAACTATAAAAGTATAATAAATATTGTTTAATAAAATTTTATTATTCTTAATTAAATTAATATTTTTCAAACAATTAATATGAGGTTGAGTATGTTTGGTTTTGGTTGTAAGCATCTATAGTAAAATCAAATTATTGACCAAATCATTAACTAATTGTCAAATCTTTCTGAAAGATCGGGCCGAAGTGGAATCGCATTTGTTGACTGTTTTTGAGGTAATCAGGTGCATTTGAACACGGAGCTTAATAACAAATGGTTATCCTAAGACCTCATTAGACCGGCTAAACTAACCGTGCTTGTACTGCTTCATAAATTTAGCTACTTTTATAATGAGGACAGTTACCTGCTCATAAATCTTTTATACAAAAAGCTTACAAATCTTTAAATCAAGAGACATTCTTGAAGGAGCAAGAATCTTTTTCTCTTCCATATCAACCCTTGAATATATGACACCCAAGCAATTAATCAAATAATATATTAAATGAAGAATATATTCATAGATTAAGAAAATTTCTATTTTGAACATACAAGGACTTTTAATGTCTCTAAAGACCATCAATGAAAATCGTTCAATTATTTTTTTATTTATACACATTCCCAATAATTATGGGCGACCTT